CCCCGCCCTGCAGTGCAATGCCCCTCGCCCTGCAGTGCAGTGCTACCACTACTGTGGGTCCACGTCAGGTGTGAACGATGTTAGCTTTGGGTGACAGCCAAGAGGAACTGCCCCTGGGCCCCGTCTCTGACTAGGTGGGTCCCCTCCCCACCCCCAGTGACTAGAAATCCAGGCAAGGAGCCCCGGTTTCAAAGCCAAATGCTGCCCCCGCAAATCCCACCTCCTCGGGGAGGACCCTTTCTTTGGGTTCACTGTCTTTCACAGACACTTACCGTCTCCTCCATGAACATGGCCAGGCTCCAGGAGCCCCAGAGGCCCAGGCTCAGCCACTGAAACGTGTTCCTGGCACGGGGTTCCCTCTCCCTTGCTGGCTCCGTGTCCTCGGGGGGCGGGCCCACCGCCGCTGCCGCCTCCCACCTGCTCCCTGCTCCCTGGGGCCCGGCCAGCTTCCTGTGCCCTGGGCTGAGTGGCCCAGCCAGCGGCCCCCACCCCCGTCCTGGCCACAGGGAGGACACTCACGAGGGGGGAGCCATGGGCTTGAGAGCGGGCCCTTCGGTCAGAGAGGGCAGGACACACAGGGGGGGGCAGTGGGCTGGCCCCTGTCTCCGGGTTCCCTGCACCGGCACCAGGTCCCCACCCCGTAAACTGACACCCTCCCTCTAGGAAGTGAGGTGAGCCTTGCTTTGAGCGGAAAGACTCAGCCTTGGGATGGGGCAGCACCCGTCATCCATCCAGGGATTCCTGCGTCCTGGGGGTGCAGGCTGGGAGACCTTGGGGGGTGGGCCATTCAGTGGAAAGAACCTGACTGTGCAAACCCTCCCACCCCCACTTCTTGGGCGAGTCACGTAACTTTCTGAGGTTTGGTTCTTAAATTAATAAATGGGACGATCATTCTTCCTCAAGGGGTCGTTGAGAGATTACAGATGTAATCTCTCTCTATCAGGGGCCCAGACTACCACAGCCTGGGCAGCTTCAATTAACTTTCTTAGAGAAATTAATTTTCTCGAAGCCTGGGAGCTGAGAAGTCCCAGCGCAAGGTGTGGGCGGGGCGGTTTCCGGCAGGGCCCCCCCTCCCCCGCCCCGTGTCCTCTCGCCCGCTCGCTGTGACCGCCCAGGGCCTTGCGGTGTGTACGCTCCTGGGATCGCCTCCTCTTCCTCCGAGGACATGAGTCCCGTTGGAGAGGGACCCACCCTCCTGACCTCACTTAACCTCGTTAACCTCCTGAAAGGCCCCGTGTCCAAATACAGTCACTTCGGGGTTGGGGCTTCAACCTCAGAAGTGTGTGGGCACACAGTTCTCTCCCTGCAGGGGGCCAGCAAAGCGTGACCTGGGCCCAGGCCTCGTCTGCCAGGGCTCCCTGCCCCTCCCCCGAAGCTGGGCCGGAGCAGCCGTGCCGAGAGGCCCACGGCTGCCAGCCGGCCCCACGTGGGGTCACCCACACCTTCGCCTGGCCCCTCCTCCAGATCTCAATTACTCGCGCACAGCGGTCGGCCGCCTCTTGGGTAAATTGTTCATCAGAAGATGCTCTCCAAAGCATGGCCACATGCTGTTGCCATTGATTTCGTTTTGATTATTCATATTAGAGGGAGCACCGCTGTCTGGCCGCGGGTGGTAATTAGGGTAAGTGTTGGGTACAGGCCAGGTTGGTGCGGGCACGGGCCAGTGGGTTCCCGTGACACCACCCGCCTCATCTCCGCAGACCGGTCCTCACACGGGGCCCGCCGCGGCAGCCAGCCAGAGCCAGCGTCCGGCCCCAGGTCTGTGGGTCCCCGAGCGGCAGGGGGCTGTGGCCGCTCCCATCCTGCGCAGGCCCATGGACGAGTCAGCGGGGCCCACACACGCCTGGTCCCAGCATTCCTGGGCGAACAGGTCCGCCTCCACCACCTGACCGCCAGGGACCCCGCCGGGCTGGAAGGCTCCGCATGTCCTCCAGGCGAGGTGGCCGACTGTGCCTGGAAATGAGGGGCCTGGTGGCCTCTACTGAGGTGCAGGGAGCAGAGGGGACCCATGCGACCCAGAGCCACCAGGAGGCTATTCTCTGGGCAATCCTTCTGTGTCCCGCCCCAGGGCGCGCGACCTTACCATCCATCAGGTGTACTTGGAGTGCGGTTACCCTTCTGCTGATTTGAGGAAGGTGGCAGGGAGGGGTGGGGACAGCGGAGTGTGTTTATCAACCGTCCTCTCACGGAGCGCTGTTCCCTACGGAAATCTCCTTTCCCGCTGATTCATTACGTGGCAGGAAGCAGAGCACGACATGTTAAAAGCCGTCCTGATAGTATTTGATATTCAGTCCTAACAACTCACCACCTCGGCAGAGGGGGCGTCTCCCCGACCCAGGGGGAGGGCGGCCATCTGCATATTGGATGTTCCGAGACAGTAGGTAATTTGCATTAAGCATCCAGAAATGCTCTGCCTGCAATCTGTCACCCTTCACTGGGTTTTTATTTTATAACCTTCACGACAGGAGGAGGGGAGGAAGAGCTGTGGCCGCACCCCTGTGGGGGCCGGAGCAGAAGCCTGGTCTGAGCCATGTCGTCAGGGAGATGCAGGGACCTGGTTGGGGGTGCCAGAGATGCCTGCCCTGGGAGACTGGGGATCCGCAAGCCCGCCCGCCCCCACGACCTCTGGATGAGGTGTGGCCATAAGGCTGGAGATCGGAGGTGGGGCTTTGCTCCCCAGGGGCGGGTGGGGGTTCGGAGAACACCTGGTCTGGTTCTGCAATGAGCAGTGAGCGGCTGTTCAACGTCACCAGGGCGTCTGCTCCAAGGGCACCTCTGCCCCCAGACCTGCAGCGCCCCAAGGACGAGGCTCAGGAGGAGCTGTGTGCGCCCCCTGACCGCGCACGAGGAGCTCCCGCACAGCTTCCGTCAAAGGCCTGGGCGCCGCCCCAGACCAGGACACCGGAATCTCCAGGCTGGGGCTAGGGACGGACGCTGGGACAGGCCCCTGTGTGTGTGAGGGGCAAAGTGTCCTGGAGTCCGGGGCTGTGTCCCCACTCCCGGTCTCTCTCCTCTCATCTGTAGAATGAGGGGCCTGGAAAATGTGCTCGGCCAAGGGGCCCAGGACAGAGGGACAGGCCAGGGGACCCTGACCCTCCCTCCGGCCTCAGCCATGTCAGATTCCCAGGGGAAAGGTTATTTGAGAAAAAGTCTCCACAGCTGTGATGAGGTCTGTGCACCCCTGTCCTGGCCCTTCCCTCGAGCTGCCGGGGACAAGGTGGCCTGAGCCCGCAGGAGCACGGGCCTCCTGGGCTGCTGGGGAAGCCCCCGAGGGACCCCACGGCAGAGGCTGCCCACCGCCACCCCTTGCGTGCGCCCATCCATAGCGCTCTGAACAGGCACACAACTTCAGATCCGGGATCCAGACCGCTCAGAGCTTGGGGACAGAACCATCAGCTCCGCCCTCATTCCCTTGGTGACCCACCGGAATCCAAGACCCTCTGGGACCGGGACCACGGCCCCTGGAGGAGCCTCATCAGGATGGAGCACAGGGCAGGGACCGTGAGCGGACACCTGGGGCAGGTGCGCAGGGCAAGAGAGCAGCGCCCACCAGGGAGTCCTGGCAGATCAGAGCCCTCACACGTGGGGTTTCTTTGCAAAACCACTGACGTTCCCCTAAAGGCACGGACACGGAGCAGAGGCGTGAGGTCGACGCCGGGGAGCTCTCCCCACACATCCCGGTGCCCAAGGTGGAGCCATCTGAGGATTTCACAGCAAGAATCCGCAGGCGCAGAGCCTCAGCCAGCTGCAGGGCAAGGCCAGTGTCTCGTGTGTATGTCACCGTCTTCGCCGTCATCACCATGAACGGCGGTGACCGCAGCAGCTCTTCGTCCGGTACACACACACGCTGGGAGGTGGGTCAGGTTTCCTCCTAGCCACGGTGTCGGGCAGATGCCATTATGTCCCCGTTGTACAGATGAGGAAACTGAGGCTCAGAGAGGTTTACAACCTGCTCAAATTTACACAGCAAGTAAAGACCAAATTCTGGACTCAAATCGAGGTGTGAATTGGACCCAGCTCCTACACGCTGTGTAGACTGTCTCCTTGTGCATCTGTGTCCTGGAGCCCTGCACAGACGGGGCAGGTGACTTGAGCGGTGACATCTCCTTCCCCGGGTCCCTTGAGAGAAGTTCAGCTGAAGGAGAAAGGAATTGTTCTCGCATCGGCAAAGCCCCTGGCCTCTCGGCCAGGCCGTGACTCGGAGCCTGCTCCTCCTCCCAGACCACCTGCTCCCCCCACCCCCTCTCAGCAGCCTGGGTCCCTCTGGAGCCCAGGAGCTGTGGGCTCAGTGCCTCTGGAACCCGGCCCCGCCAGAGCCGCCAGAGGGAGCCGGGCGATGCCGTGTGCCTGGCCTGCCAGCCTGGGCTCGGCCCCTCCCGGCCGGTGCGCTCCGCTGAGAGAGAGCGGGCATGAACTGTCAGCACACCCAGCGAGGCGGGTCGGTTTGTTTGAGTTCCAGCCCATCCTGCCAAGCAGGTGGGGAAGACAGCCCACGGCCGTTCGGGCCCCCACTCCAGCACCAGGGGCAGCAGAGGCCCAGGTCAAGGAGGGTTGAGCCAGAAACCCCACGGCAGCCATGGAGGTGGCCAGCCATCAGTGGGCATGCACTGGCCAGGGTGTGGGCAGCCCCTGAGGCCGCGAAGTCTGGCGAGAGCAGCATGCTAAAGCACATGCTGGGACCCCACCCTGATCTCCTCTCGGGGTCTCCACAACCTGCAGTCTCTTCCACTCCAGGACCCCTGCAGCGCCACCCTGGTGCACTTGGACCTGGGACAACCGAAGCAAATCTCTGGGTAGTCCACGCATCCTGACTGCGTCCCAGGGAAGGGCGGGTGGAGGAAGAGCAGGGAGCCTCCGGGGTCTGGTGGGGCAGCCGGGCGCACCCTCTGCCTCCTCATTTGTCCCTAGAGCCAGCTTCCCGGCAGAGTCGGTCCCCCACCCAGACCCTCCCCCGCACCCGTGGCCTCTAACCATCCCGCCTCTGTCCCCCCCTCCCCCAGTCCACGGCATCAAGTGGACCTGCAGCAACGGCAACAGCAGCTCGGGCTTCTCGGTGGAGCAGCTGGTGCAGCAAATCCTCGACAGCCACCAGACCAAGCCACAGCCACGGACCCACAACTGCCTGTGCACCGGCAGCTTGGGTGAGCGGGGCGAGCGGGGCGAGCGGGCTCCGGGCGGGCAGGCGGGCGCCACGGGCCCGGGCACAGCTCCCCTCCTCAGGGGTCGCTGTGATGCCCAGTGAGGGAAGGAGGTCAGCCCGGAGCCGGGCAACTGCCCAGCGCCCAGGACAGACTCACCCTCGTCCTGCCCCACCCGCTGGCGAACCGCCCACTCTGGGCAGAAGACGGCAGTTTCTAGGGCGGCAGCTCCCCTAGGGGGCAGCAGAGTTAGGGGGTTGCATGGGAGTGGGGCTCCAGGGTTCTGTCCACCCACCACAGTGCCCTCCAGGCCTCCAGTGCCCCTGGGCGCATCAGCAGGAGGCCCAGGTCCCGGCACTGGACCAGCCTCCTCAGGGAGAGCAGACCTGAGTCACTGGGACCACTCCAGCCAAACCTCTGCCTTGAACCTGTCTCCCTCCGCCCAGAACTCCTGTCCCTCACTCTCCGTCCTGACGTCTCTCTTTCTGACACTGGCATTTGCTCTTTGAAACGTGGCTCTCTGCTCCCCGAGCCGCCGTAATTCGGTGTCTCCATGAGCGGGTCGCGTCACTTCTCGGCAAAGTCTCCGTGCATTTAGGAATCTTGATGGCAAGGCTGTGACGGGGTCCGGGGAGAACTCACCCTTTTATCAAAAGCAAAGTGACCCTTATCAGATGGGCGGAAATGATGATGGCGTGGGGCGAGACGGCAAGGAAAAGCCGCCTGGCGTCCCGGCGGGCCTGAGCCCTGGTGCTAGAGCCCAGAGACGCCGGGCCGGGGGCTCCCTCCTCTGCCCTGAGCCGCGAGCCTTGCCGTGCTGTAGAGAGACTTGTCCCCATAAAGAGCTGAGGACAGGCCCAACTAGCCAAACAGAAGATAGTGACCCCCAAATACCTTTTGGCCTCCGGAACAGAGTCTGGGCTACCCTTTGGTCCTGGGACCCGAGAGCTAATTCAGAGAGAGTGCCTTGCTCTGCAGGTCCCCCTCCACCGCTGGCTCCCTGTCCCGGGGGGCTCCCGAAATACCACAGGGCCTGAGCAAGTGGCATGGAAACTCCCAGGGGGCAGAGAGAGGGACCCGGCCACCACCCAGGGCTGAGCAACGGCCCCTCCCCCAGGCTGCTCGTAGGTGGGAGGGTCCCTGGAGAAGGGAGCTCTCTCCATCCTCTGCTCCCCCACCTCCCACGTCCTGGGGCACTACTGACACTGTTTGAAAAGTGAGTCCAGAAAAAAAGTCCCTGGTCTGGAGGATGTTGACACAGGCCTGTGACCGCCCCGGGCCTGGGGTCAGTGGGCCCCAAACCCTGAGTGACTGCGCAGGCCAGCCCCAGGGGTTCAGTGGCCTGCTGAGGCCCCGGGGTGGGGCTTGGCCAGGTCCCAGCCGCTCAGACAGGGTCCACCACAGCCCCAGCTCTGACTCTCTCTTTGTGTGTGTGTGTGTGTGTGCGTGCACGTGTGGTGCGTGTGGGTGTGCATGCCTGTGTGCGTGTGTGCACATGTGTGTGTGCACGTGTGTGTGGCCATGCATGCCTGTGGGGGTGTGCATGCCTGTGTGCATGTCTATGCATGTGTGTGTGCATGTGTGTGCGTGTGTGGGGGCGTGCATGCCTCTGCGTGTGTGTGGGCGTGCATGTGTGTGCATGTGTATGTACATGTGTGTGCGTGTGTGTGCGTGTGTGTTGTGCTTCCGATCCCTGCAGGAGCGGGCAGCAGCGTGCACCACAAGTGTAACAGTGCCAAACACCGCATCATCTCGCCGAAGGTGGAGCCGCGGACGGGGGGCTGCGGGGGCCACGCGGAGGTGCAGCACAACGACGTGTCAGAGGGCAAGCAGGAGCCGAGCCACGGCAAGGGCTCGGGCCGCGAGAAGCGGAACGGCAAGGTGGCCAAGCCCGCGCTGCTGCACCAGAGCAGCACCGAGGTCTCCTCCACCAACCAGGTGGAGGTGCCCGACACCACCCAGAGCTCCCCCGTGTCCATCAGCAGCGGGCTCAACAGCGACCCCGACATGGTGGACAGCCCCGTGGTCACAGGCGTGTCCAGCATGGCGGTGGCCTCCGTGATGGGGAGCTTGTCCCAGAGTGCCACGGTGTTCATGTCCGAGGTCACCAACGAGGCCGTGTACACCATGTCCCCCACCGCCGGCCCCAACCACCACCTCCTCTCGCCCGATGCCTCTCAGGGCCTGGTCCTGGCCATGAGCTCCGACGGCCACAAGTTCGCCTTCCCCACCACGGGCAGCTCGGAGAGCCTGTCGATGCTGCCCACCAACGTGTCCGAAGAGCTGGTCCTCTCCACCACCCTCGACGGTGGCCGGAAGATTCCAGAAACCACCATGAACTTTGACCCCGACTGTTTCCTCAACAACCCAAAGCAGGGCCAGACGTACGGGGGCGGAGGCCTGAAGGCCGAGATGGTCAGCACCAACGTCCGGCACTCGCCGCCGGTGGAGAGGGCCTTCAGCTTCACCACCGTCCTCACCAAGGAGATCAAGACCGAGGACACCTCCTTCGAGCAGCAGATGGCCAAAGAGGCGTACTCCTCGTCCGCGGTGGCCGCGGCGTCCAGCTCCCTCACCCTGACCGCGGGCTCCGGCCTGCTGCCGTCGGGCGGCGGCCTGAGCCCCAGCACCACCCTGGAGCAGATGGACTTCAGTGCCATCGACTCCAACAAGGACTACACGTCCAGCTTCAGCCAGACGGGCCACAGCCCCCATGTCCACCAGACCCCTTCCCCCAGCTTCTTCCTGCAGGACGCCAGCAAGCCCCTCCCCATCGAGCAGAACGCCCACAGTAGCCTGAGTGACTCCGGGGGCACCTTCGTGATGCCCACGGTGAAAACAGAGGCCTCGTCGCAAACCAGCTCCTGCAGCGGCCACGTGGAGACGCGGATAGAGTCCACCTCCTCCCTCCACCTCATGCAGTTCCAGGCCAATTTCCAGGCCATGGCGGCGGAAGGGGAGGTCACCATGGAGACCTCGCAGGTGGCCGAAGGGGGCGAGGGCCTGATCAAGTCCGGAGAGCTGCAGGCCTGTAGCTCGGAGCACTACCTGCAGCCCGAAACCCCCGGGGTGATCCGCAGCACGGGCGGCGTCCCCATCCTCCCGGGGAACGTGGTGCAGGGACTGTACCCCGTGGCCCAGCCCGGCCTCGGCAACGCCTCCAACATGGAGCTCAGCCTGGACCACTTTGACATCTCCTTCAGCAACCAGTTCTCCGACCTGATCAATGACTTCATCTCCGTGGAGGGGGGCAACGGCACCATCTACGGGCACCAGCTGGTGTCGGGGGACGGCGCGGCGCTCTCCCAGCCCGAAGACGGGGCCCGCGCCCCCTTCGCCCAGGCGGAGATGTGTGTGCCCTGTTGCAGCCCCCAGCAGGGGAGCCTGCAGCTGAGCCGTGCCGAGGGCGGGGCCAGCACCATGGCCTACATGCACGTCGCGGAGGTGGTCTCGGCCTCGGCTCAGGGCACCCTGGGGATGCTGCAGCAGAGCGGACGGGTGTTCATGGTGACGGACTACTCCCCAGAGTGGTCTTACCCGGAGGTAAGCGACGGCCGCCATCACCCCACCTGCTCCACCCGCTCACCTCCAGCCTGCGCTGAGGGAAGCTCATTTGCATGTGGCTTTCCAGCCGGAGTCGTCCCCTCCCTCGGTCCCCGGGTCACTTGAAATACCTCCGCCTGTGCTCAGTCTTCATCACAGCGAGTAGCTTGACAATCGGGTCCCCTCGGAGGTCAGGTGGCCCTCCTGCTCCAGCCAGAGCAGCTGTCACCGGGCTCATGCGTTCACCTGTCACCTCTGTTTTGCTTTGCTGTGGGGAGCGGGGGTGGGGGGACCCGAGAGCTGGTAGGGGGGAAAAAAAACACACCCATTGCTCTGATCTGCTCTACTAAACAAAACGAAAACAAACCACTTCCCAGGAAATGAAGAGAGAGGGTACAGCTTCTGAGTAGCCATCAGTAAGACGGGGTGAAATCTGGCCTCTAGAAAATCAAGGCGTGTTCTTTGACCCAGGACCTCCCGTCGTCGGCTGCCCCCACCCAGTCTCAGATGACACCAGGAGGCTGGCTCCAGAGCAGGAACACCCAGTGGGCCACGGTGGCACCGGGTTCAAGGAGTCTTTGCTTTTTCTCCCACTAGAATGACGTAGGGAAGGAGCGTGGCCGAACTTTTCTGCTGCGTACTGACTCCCCCAGCCCTCCGGCCAGGCGCCTGGGGCCCCGATTGGCCCTTTCTCCCCAGCTGGTGGCTGCTCCCGGCTCCCGGGGTGCTTGTGCCATGGTCCCTAGATGCCAGGGCAGGGGTTGCTGCCCCGGACGAGGGAGGGGTGCTCTTGAAAGACCCTGAACCTCATGGGCCACCTTAACTAAGGCAGTGGCTCAAGCGGTGCGTGCACCTTCCAGACCCGGGCGCGGCAGGACACCCTGGGATGAGCTCCAGTGTAGGGCTGGGCGGCGGGGTGTCCCGAGAGGTGAAGTGCTTCTCGGAGCTGGTCTCTGCTCGAGTCCCCCCTGGGAGGGGGGACAGTGGTAGAGGGCACGTCTCAGGGGCTCTGCTGGGTGTGACTTCAGGCTTCACCTCTGCGATTCCGTCCCCTCGCCTCTGAGATGGGTTGTAACAGCACCTGTCTCAGGCGCGGGCAGGAGTGGTCTTCGGCCCAAAGTACGTCATCAGTGAATATTGGTCACGATTCCTTGGCCATCACAGCTCATGGCCCACTGTCTTCCTTTTCCACGTCCTCCTGCCGTGGCCGTGGAAAGAGGCCACTCACTGGCTGACCGTGTACAACCCTGGCGGGGTGCCCTAGACCGTGGGCCTCGGTGTCACAGTCATGAGCAAGAGGCTCACGCCTGCTCGGCCTCCTCCCTCATGGAAAAGCCCAGACAGAATCTGTGTGCCAGGCCCCAGCTCTCAGACGCCGCACCAGCCTTTGCACAGGAGCGTCCTGCAAGGACAGCAGGCGTCTAGGCAGCGGCTTGTGCCGGGCGCTGTGTGTGCAGGGCATCCACAGAAGCCCTCAGGTGTCAGGCTGCAGGGGAGGAGTCTGGATTCCACGCCTGGCCCGGCGCGCACCAGCGGTGACCTTGGCAGGGCGCTGCCCTTCCTGCCGCTGCCCCCATGGGGAGAGTGAGGACAGAGTAGAGCGCCCAGGAGGCCCCTGTCTCCTGTCCCCCCTCTGCTTCCCTCACTGCCCCCCAAGACTCCAGAAGGTTCCACTGGTTTCCCTTGATGAAGCTCAGACTCCATGAGCGACATGGACCTCGGTCGCACTCTCCCGACACCCACCACCTTCCCCCAGGGTGAAGGGTCAGCTCAGCCCAGCAGCTTGTCCCCACCCCACCCGTGGGCGTGAGAGAGCAATTCAGAGGGAGAGGGAAGGGACAGGGGACTGGGCTGCAGTGAGGTCAGGGCCGGGGTCGCTGTCCGCTGTCTTTAGATCTGCCACAGAGACTTGGCTCTCCGGGCATCAGTTTTCTCATCTGTACATGGCTGAGAGGGGCAGCCTCCCGGGCCCTCCAAGTCCTAGGACCTGAGAGATTTGCTCCTTGGGACACTTTGAGGCTCCCTGGAGCCTGGGTCCTGCAGACGCTGAAGGACGGGAGGAGGAGCCCTCTCCCGGGGCCTCAGCCCGGGTGTGCAGTCCTCGGCCAGTCCAGGCCCGCACTCAGGCCTCCTCGGGCCCCGGGCCTGAGGAGGGGCCCAGCAGGCCTGGCCCCTGGGCTCTGCGCGTGAGTTGCGGCCTGCAGATCCCGGAGCTGTGCCTGGGAGAGCGGCAGTTCGGCAGCTGGCCACGTGAGGGCGGCACGGGAACAGGAACGGGTGGTGGTCTGGTTGCCTCCAGAGGGAGCGTCCAGCCCTGGCTTCCCAGAAGCCCTGGGTGATTCCAGCTGCCCGGGAACAAAAGCAGCCCAGACTCCGTTTGATTGGAAAATGCACAGAGCCTCCCAGCTGGACCCTTTGGGGCCCGTGTGGCCGAACGGAACCTCTGCAGAGGCTCCAGGGCCCCACCCCCTCCACTGTCCCCCGTCAGCAGCAGGGCCACCCCCTCCTGGGTTCTCCTGCAGGAAACAGCACCTCCTCTCCTGACCCTCCCCTTCAGCCCCTGGCTGGCATGCTCGCCCCCCCCCCCCCTTCTCCACGGGCAAGAGGCCTGCTTGCTGACTGCATCAGGGGCCTGGCTCTAGCCAAGTCTGCCAGGCTCGTGGAAAGACACACAGGCCTGGGGCACTTCCTAGTCTGTAAATGCGGGGTCAGGCTAAACAGATGCTCAGCATCCCGGCCCAGCTCTAAAACTCAGGGGAGCCCGGGCACCCACTTTGCAGGGATGCTGAGGCTGGGGCCATCTTGCTGTCTCTGCTCAGAGGCTCCAGCCCTCCCACTTCTGTAGGTAGCCCCCACTTCTGTGTTGTGTTCACCTCTTCACCCCAGCTGCGGCTGGTCACTGACACACACACACACGCGCACACACACACACGAGGTGCCCCTGTGCCCCGGATCTGCCCTAGGTGCATCGGAAATCTGGGTCCTCCCTCTCAGGACTCCCAGGAAACAGCGACCTCAGATGGCATCTGCCGCTCCGTCCCCTCCCCCAAGCCCTCTGCGTCATCTTTCACGGGCGCTGCTGCGGCATCAGGCAGGGGAGGCTGCGATCAGAGCCTTCAGGTGCCCGCGTCACCTCGGCTCAGCGCAGGAGGCGAGCGTTGCCATGGCAGCCGTCCCCTGCGCGGAGGGATGCTGAGCGCATCCCGCGGCCGTGTCCATGGAGAAGGCCTGCTGTTCTCATCATCCCCGCGGCCCTTTCTTCCCCACAGCAGCGCTGGCTTCGTGCTGGCAGCTGGCGACCGCGTTCTTTTTCCTTCCCCTTCTTCAAACGTGTAACTGTCGGTGGCCTTTTCGAGCCGCTGCCCTTCCACTTCCCAGGAGCCGGGAGGAGGCTGCCCTGAGCTGGCCTCCGGTGCTCCCAGGTCCTGCCTGGGTCTGGGGCAGCCTCCCCGCCCGGCACTCGCCCCAGCCCCGCCACCCGGACAGAGTCCATCTCCCTGTGGAGCCACGTGTCAGAACAGAGGAGTGTAAGGCCAGAGGCCCCTCGAGATCAGATGTCACCAGAGAGGCTGGGCCACTTGCCTGAGAACACACAGCCACTGAGGGACGGGGCAGGCCTCCTGCCTTTGGCTCCGGTCCTGTGCTCCCTCCACACCCTGGTTGCCTGGCTGTCAAATGACTTCTCCGAAACTAGCCCAGAGGGAGGGTCCCTTCCACAGTGGACTGTGGGAGTCCCCTCCACCTCATCCCTCGAAGCACCCCCTCCTGCTGCTGATGCCCAAAGCCATCATGGGGCCAGGTCTGGGTCAGGAACATTGTGGGAGCCTCAGGAACAAGCCCCGTGCTGCGTCTGGGGTCCCTCCAGGGCCTGAGTGACAGCAGAGGAGTGTCTCGCTGGCCTGGGGCAGCAACAGGAGAGGTGGGGGCAGGAGGACCGTGGGTCCCACACTCCTCACCCCCTCCACCGCGCCAGACTCCAGTAGGGGTGCCTTTGGGCCTTCTCCAGCCCAGTCGCGAGGTGACACCCTCCACCCCGTCCTGGGCAGCTCTTGGTCCCCTGCTGGGGAGGGCGAATGGAGCCTGGTGGGCCCTCCCCAGGAGAGCCAGAGAGGCCCGCACCCCTGCCCTCGGTCCCCCCGCCCAGGACAGCCACCTCCACACCCTACCTGGCCCCCTTGGCGGTCGGAGCCCTGATCGAGCCCACATCAGACGTGACACCATGCAAGGCAATGACTCGCTGAGCGGGGACAGGGGCCGTAGAGTAGGGCTGACCGGGCCTGGCCTGGCAGGTGCCGGCAGGAAGGCAAGGAGGAGCCTCCCCTTCCCTGCGCCCTCCTGCTCCTGGTGCCTCCGGGCCTAGGGGGTGGGGCCCTTTGCCCTTCAGCTGAGCAAGGTCATCCAAGCCCCTACCCAACCCCTTTCCCAGCTGCCCCCCCCCCCCCGTGGAGCAGCTGCAGCCCAGCCAGGCTGCCCGCGTGGCAGTGCCCGCCTGTGCCGTCGGGTGCAGCAGGGGCCAGCGTGACCATGCGGATGGCAGTGCAAACAAGTGTCCTTGCCGGCTCAGCACAGAGGCAGCGGGCGGAGACCCACCCTATTCCCGACCCCGGCTCTAAGCCCCTCTCCAGCCCAGGGCACCCCCTGTTTTCTGTTTCTGCCGTCTTTCTCTTTGCTTCTTCATCCAGCCCCGTTCCCTGCCCCCACCACACCCTGGGGGTCCGGGGGCTCCTCTCCCCTCCCCTCCCCAGGACGTCCAGTGTCTGCGGTGCCGCTAAGATGCTCAGGCCTCTTTCCCACACCCGAGGCCCCTCAGTCCGCCCACAAGCCCTTCCTCTCCCACTTCCTTCTAGGGGACCCGCCTGGCCAGTTCTCAGGGGCTTCAGGGGCTGAAAAGGTCTGAAAAACCCTGTGCCCAGAACAGAGAGTGACACAGGAGGGGTCAGAGGTCAGAACTGCCCCCGGCCCCCGTGCCGGATGCCAGCTCAGGGAGGCCTCTGGAGACCCCAGGGGACCAGGGCGACCCTGAAACAGTGGTTCTCAAAAGCCAGGGCTTCCCCACAGAGGCCTGCGTCCCTCGTCCCCCAGCCCCACCCCCGCCTGGGCGTCTGACCCTCACCCTGCCTCTGTCCCCTCCAGGGAGGAGTGAAGGTTCTCATCACAGGCCCGTGGCAAGAAGCCAGCAATAACTACAGCTGCCTGTTCGACCAGATCTCAGTGCCTGCGTCCCTGATTCAGCCCGGCGTGCTGCGCTGCTACTGCCCAGGTGAGCCCCCGGCGTGGGCGCCTCCCGCCCCCTGCCGCTGGGAAGAAGCTGGTCCGCGACCGGCTGTGACGGCGGCGTCTGTCCTGGCCCATGGGCCATGTGGACAGGGCAGGGACAGGCACACCTGGCCGGGGGGACTGGTGCACCCAGGCCTGGCCACCGCGGGGGGCTCTAACCTCCCCCACCTGGGGGTAGAGCGGCCCCACAGGAGCTGCCTGGGGTCAGAGGCCACCTTGCAGCAGGGCAGACCTGCCTCCTGCCCGCGTGCCCCATGGCCCGAGCCATGGGGTCCACGGGGTCAGTCCCCTGGGGCACAGAGCAGGTCAGAGAGGGATGGAGAAGGCCCGGTGGGGGAGGGGAACATCAAACTAAGAACAACCCACACAAACCCTGGAGGTCTGATGACGCCCTACCCTGCCCCCAAGAGAGGGCACTGCCTGGGATCTGCCTCGGGGTTCGGGGGCAGGAGCCCCGCGTGCTGCCCCTCAGGGCTTCGTGGGCGTCACTAGCGTGGTGGCCTGTCTGACCACTCATCCTCGGCGACCTCCCAGTGGCCTGGCAGCGCGTGTGGGCAGGGTTTGTCAGTCTCCCCAGGGCTGGCAGAGTGCCCGGCACGGCACAAGGAGCACGTTGTTTAGAGCTCGCTCTCCGTCCCCTGGGCTGGCCCCTCACCCCCAGTAGCCCCGGGGATGGCCTGCCCTACTTGCCCAGGCAATGAACAGACACAGACAGGGAGGTGGGTGGCAAGGGTGGAGGGTGCCGTCTGTGTTATCCGAAGCTGGGGGCTTACAGAGCAGAGAGGACGCGCTCCGTGCAGGCTGCGGACCAGGAGAAGTGGGGTAGGGTCCCCAGGGCAGCAGCGGAGCTGGCTGGTGCCCGGGCCAGTTTCCACCCGGGCTGATCCAGCCTGTGCCTTGGGCCGCCCGCTGTCTGCCGCCAGAGACCTCACCATCCCCCCAACCTGGGCTCCTGAGCTCACAGGGAAGGTTCTACCTCCTCTCTCTCCATCTCCATGCAGAAGGCTCCAGGGCTGGGCTCCCATGTTTAGCCCCTCCTGAATTCAGGGAGCCCGGGCTGGTGTCCCCGCGGGCCCTGCCCCCACCGGCTGCCTGGCTTGCCCCTGGGACCCACTCTGCCCCCTCCTCCTGGCAGCCCTGCCCGGCCTGGATCCCCGCCATCGAATGCCGGGGGCCGGGCCAGCCTGTCCCAGCTGAGGGCTGCGTGTGGCCAGTACACCCCCACCCCTGCCGAGGGGCTCAGGGAGAGGGCAGCCTGTTATTAAGCTGTCCACTTATCACCTGCTGCGGGAACAGGACTCGCCGGGACTATAAATAGACGCCACTTCCTCTACCTGGCTCTTGCCTGGCTGAGAACCCAGACCTTGCCTGTCCCAAGTTATCTGACCCTCCAACAAAACTGGCCTCGGCGTGCCCTCTGGATGGTGCCCCAGGCCAGGACCTGGCAAACCCTGGGGCTGGGTCAGTCACACTGCAGTGCAGCCCGGCTCAGCCCGTCACCATCCGTGTGACCAGCTCGGTGGTGACGTCTCTGGGCCTCAGTTTCTGCATCTTTAAAAACCTGCCAGGTGGGGGAGAGTACGAGGTGAGGGACGGGCCCCGGAGCACCTGGCCCGCACGCTGCTCCCCAGCAAGGCCTTCGCCCCTGCTTCCCGCGGGGCTGTGGGAGACAGCACCCGGCTCTCGGGTCTCAGCCCGCAGCCCTGGTCCCAGTCCCCAGACTGCATCTTGGACCAGGGACACCAGGGGACGAGGGCCACAGCCTCCAAGGCAGACCCGCTGCTGGGGCCCCGCTCTGGTACAGCCAAGCACAACGGGTCCCCTTGGGACATCTCGCTTTGGGGCCCGAATCGAAACATGCCACTGTGAGACAGCTCTGGGTGTATCCCTTCATTCACCCCATTCATTCGTTCATTCCTCAAATAGTCTGCCGGGGCTGGGTAGGTGCCTGGAGCCGACGTTACCCCAACCCTGACCGCGAGGGGTGCTGCTGGCTGCTGAAGGGATCGTCCCTCGCCCCCCGACGGACTTGAGGGAGCTACAGCTGAACTCGAAGAAGGAACATTTGACGGCTGAGCCCAACCAGCCTCACCGAAAAGAAGGCTCAGAGGCCGCTGAGCACCTGGCCACTGTGGGGGCTGGAATGACCTGGGAAGACGGGCGCACCGGGAGTGAGTGGGGGAGGGGCACGGGGAGCACAATGACCGCTCCCCACCAGCCTGGCACACCTGCCCAGGCAAAATGGGGGAGGAGATTCAACCCTGACCAAGAGCACGGTTCTGGGCCGCCCACCGCCGCCGCCGGGCGCAGAGGGCACACGGGCAGAGGTCTGTCTCCTGCGGGTTCCCACGGGGCTCCGAGGCTGGCAGGGAGCAGGCGAGTCAGGGCGCTGGGACGGGTGAAGGAGGACTTGGGCTGAGGAGGGGCAGCCAGGCTCAGGAGAAGAGAGAGGAGCCACCACCAGGAAGACGTTGCGTTGGGGCTCCTGGAGCCCCACCCTGGGTGCCGGGAAAGCCACCAAAAAGCAAGTGACGAAATTCAGAATGCGAGCGAAAGCTCTGTGTGTGGAGGTGGTCCCTTCCACGGCCACTGAGCGGCCACCACAGGCCAGGCGCTGACCTTGGCCCTGGGCACAAGGAGGAGGTCAGGACAGACCCAGGCCCAGCTCTCATTCCGCTGCAGGAGACGAAAAAACAAAGGAGGGAACAAAGAACCAAGATCACAGGACACTGAAAACGGCACCGCGGGCAAGGAACTTGGGCAGAGGACGGTTCCTGTGAAGAGACGGCGGGGGGGGGGGGGGGGGGGGGGCCTTGGCCGGGCCTGAAGCTGGGACCTGAATGCTGAAGCGGAGCGAGTCGGGGGAGGGGTGGGGGAAAGCATCCAGGCAGAGGGCAGAGGCAGTGCAAAGGCCCTGAGGCAGGCAGAGGAAATATGAAGGCGGGGGGAGTACAACATGGCCAGGTTGGAGAAGACAGCAGGGACCAAAGTGTGTCCATCCTTCTAAGTCATGGGAAGGAGTTTGGTTTGGTTTTACTTGCACTGGGAAGCCATTCGTTTCAAGTGGGGAGAGACTTGATGACTCTGGGGTCTGGCCAGTGTGGCCCAGTGGTTGAGTGTCGACCCTGCACCAAGAGGTCGCCAGTTCGATTCCCAGGCAGGGCACACGCCCAGGTTGTGGGCCCGATCCCCAGTGGGGGGCCTGCAGGAGGTGGCCAGTTGATGTTCTCTCTCATCAGTGTTTCTATTTCTCTCTCCCTTTCATTTTCTCTCTTTCTAAAATCAATAAGGAAAAAAAAAATTAAAGATGGTTCTGGGCACGTGGGAGAGTGGACCACAGGGAGCGAGACCAGCAGGGAGCCACCGGAGGCTGCAGAGGGGTGACCTTTCCTGGCATAAGGAGGAGGCCTTCTGGGCAGTGCACCCCACTGGTTCAATGTGGGAGCCCCGACTCCATCCCGGCAGGCACGGGTCTCGGGCGAGCTGAGGTTGTCCTCAGCAGAGGCTCATGCCGGAGTTTGAGCAAGAAATGATGGCAGCTTGGCCAGTGTGGTGGCCGTGGAGATGGCCAGACGTGGACGGACCTGGGACTCGCTGGCAGACTGGCTGGGGGGAGGGAGTGTCCAGGAAGCACCGTGTGCTGGGCCTGCAGGAGCGGCCGCTGGGCCGGGCCCCAGGAGTCCTCTCCGTGCACCTCTCAGGGAAGGAAGGGGACCGTTGACTCTGCCACCGTGCCAGCGGCACACAGGTCCGGCGGACGCCAGGAGGCGGTAGAGGGAGAGCAGCAGTCGAGGAGGACCCTCCGCGGGGACATTGGTACAGAGAGACCTGGAGCTCCCCAGGGGCCGGCTGGACAGGAGGCTCGCGACGAGGAACGGAGCTGGGCGGGCTCAGAGGGTGTGTGTGTTGACAGGCTCCTCTCCAGAGCAGGCCAGCAACCGCAAGCGGGAGATCTGCCCGCGGTGCTGTCAGGGCCCCCGAGGTCTTGGACGCGGCCGGAGATTCCTACCCAGAGAGGCTCCCGGGAGGCCCTCGGGGTCCCGCGCCCACCGTGGAGCCAGCTGGCTCCGCTGTGGTCTGGAGCTGGGGACCACACCAAGGTGCAAAGCACAGGGGGACCTGCTGGTCACCCTTGGGCGGGGACTTTCTGAGGACCTGCTGGGGACGATGGCGTGGTACCCCCGCCTGGGATGGACAGAGGCCGCCGGTCAGTGAGCTGGAGTCCCCACAGGGGTGAAGTGTACAGGACCAGCCTCAGAGGGAGCCTTACTCCGCCCTGGGGAGCAGCTGACTTGGACGGCTTCCCCATCTGTGAGCTTCTGAAACCCAGCAGGGCAAACAGTAACACGATCCCCGTGTGCGTCCTCCCTGGAAGTCTGTCCTGGGAGGCCCTGGGCACTGGCACCCGCCGTTCCAGAAAAGCCCGACGCCTCCCAGGGGACAGGGCCTGGCGGCCGGGCAGCCCGCCTGCACACCCACCACTGGCCCCCAGGCCATGTCGGGGGGCACGGCCCCTACGACTGCAGCGGGAACCCGCAGCAGCAGCCTCACCCCCAGAATGGAACGGGGCTCCTCAGGGCCGGGCTTGCCCCTCGCCGACAGTGCGAGCGTCCTGCTCGTCCCTCACACAAGTGTCTTCCCTGAGCCTCTGTGGGGCCAGAGCAGCTCAGGAGGCCCACCCGGGCCTGCCTCCGCCAGCTTCTGCCCAGGCGCTGGAGGGAGCCCGGCCTGCACCCCCCGCTCAGCACCCCGGGCCCAGAAGCTCTTGCTGTCCTCGGGAGGCAGAAGAACTAAAAATACATGGAAGGCCGTGCTCAGTGAGTCAGGACAAGCTTGTAGGAAAAGGGAAAACAGAAATAACCACAAAGGAGTCTGAGCCCTGCCCAGGGTGAATGGGACAGGGGGACAAGTCATCCAGCAAGGGGCGGGGAGGGGGCGGACATTCACTCCCTCGCTCATTCATTCTTTCATTCACTCATTCATTCAGCAAGTCTGCCCTGAGCTCCCAGTCCCTGCACTCGCCAGGGAGCAGAGGAGCGAAGAGACCATTGTAATACGGGGCGTGGGATGACCCCGGCGCCTGGCTGAGCCTGGGGTCCCGAGAAGGCCTCCAGGAATGAGCAGGCACCGGCTGGGCTCACCCAAGGAAGGGCCCTCGGGAGGGGCCCTCCAGGTCCTTGATGGTCCGCCAGGCTGCAGGGTGCCCGCCCATGCTGACCTCTCTTTCTTTTGCTTTCAGCCCATGACACTGGTCTTGTGACCCTACAAGTTGCCTTCAACAACCAGATCATCTCCAACTCAGTGGTGTTTGAGTACAAAGCTCGGGCCCTGCCCACACTCCCTTCCTCCCAGCATGACTGGCTGTCACTAGATGGTAAGAGCAGCGCTCGGGTCACCTTGCCAAACTCCGTGGGAGAGGGACACGTGGGGACAGGGGGTGACACAGGAGGACGTGTGCAGGTTTCCACGTTCCTGATCCGAGCGGGTGGCAACGGTGCAAGTGTCCACCCCGGGGCATTGGCTGGGTCTCTGCCCTCCCCCGAGTGTCCCCCTGGGACAGAGTGAGCCTGGGCCTACAGCTGTCGCTCTAGGCAGGGGGTCTGAGTGGCCGGACAAGCCCCCAGGTGCTGAGAGGCCCTTCTCTGGACAGACCCCAAGCAGCAGGGTCCCAGCACCCCCCGCGGCCTTCAGGGCTGTTTCCAGGGTGTCCTCGAAGCTCCTGGAGGCTGTCATCAAGCCCCAGGCTCTCAGACACTAAAGCAACGGGAGGCTGCTCGAGGCGCTCGGGCTGGGCTTCCTGCGGGTTCCAAGGCCTCGACCGCAAGGTTGTGTGAACTGCTTCTGTCTCTTAGTGATAGCGAGCCAACCTTCTCATGGCAGCCCTCAAACACCCATCAGCCTCTGCTTGCTTCTAGGCCGGTTTTACATTAGCCCCCGCCCTGGAGAGCATCTGCAGTAAGCTGGGGATTATGATCATGGCTGGGGGGAGCGCCGGGGAGCCCCAGTAGGCTGCCAGGGAGGAGGCAGGACCTGCTGGCCAAGGACAGGGCTCTGAGAGCTGCTGGCCTTGGCCATGAGCTTGGTGACTTAGCACCAGGGCTGTGCACAGCAAAATCGCCAAAGATGGGCGGGGGACAGTAAGGTCAGGGGTTGCCCTTCTGGGCACGGACATTCCTAGAAGCCCTGGGTTGGCCTGGGGTGCTGGCTGATAGTCTCTGCACCGGGACAGAGTGGGAGGAATGGGTGCACATGCCCTCGGAATCAGGGAAGCCCGCAGAGGTGCCCGTGTGTGGGGTACCTCGCTGGAGACCTCTCAGCCCAAGGCACGGGGTCTTGGCTAAGCGGACCCTGGGCCCTCTGCAGGGGTCAGTTGTGAAGCACCCCTCCCCCGTCCACAGCCCCCCTGGCCTTCTCGCCTCAGTCTCCCCTGACTGCTGGCTGCTGGCGGACATGCCCTGGCCAGCTTCTCTGAACCACCCAGCATGCAACCCTCAGCCTCATCCCAGCCCCGGCCCCAGCAGTGACACGGTGCCTGGCGGCTGCCTGGCCATGGAGCCTTGTGCGCTCTTCCGAGAGGTGGCTTTGGGTCAGCAGGCATCAGCACCCTGGCAGTGGCTGCCTGGGAGCACCAGGCCGGACTTGGCAGCTACCCTGGCTACGGCTGGAGCCAGCCAGAGCTTTGAGGATGACCAGCAGGATGTAACAGAGAAGGGCAGGGTGACCGGGCCTCCTGTTCAGGAAATCCCATTTCAGTTTTGCAGAACATGTGGGAAACAGAGCAGGGACAGAACTCTGCACAACCCTGGCTCTCCCTGAGCAACCAGGTCGCCTCCCCAGTGTAGGATGTTGGGACCAGTATAGGATGTTGGGACCAGTGTAGGACCCGCCTGGGAGGTGGAGCCGTTCAGAGAGCAGAATCTCAGCCAGGCGGTGCCTTGGAGCACAGGAAAGTCAGCGGACCTCCTGGAAGCTGAGAGCAAGCCGTACCAGGAGGCTGCCGGCAGGGGAGGCCATGCTGTGATGGGGACTGTGGGGAAGGGAAGCCACCTGAGCTGGACACAGCCCTGAGTCCTCAGCCATACCGGGTCCCCTGGGCAATGAGCCTGCTGCCCTGCTGGACACCTGCTCTCCAGCAGCCCCTCCCCCGGGACTCGAGCTGTGTGCTCCAGTAGGAATCCAGAGGAAATACGCATCCCGCAGCCCCTGGCAGAATACGCGGGAGAGATGGCAGTCGCTGGGAAGGGGCCGTGGCATGGAGAGAGAGCAGACTGGGGTCCTGAAGGACCCTGTGCTTCCCTTGTCCTTCGGTCTTGGCCAGGTGTCCCTTCAAGTAACGAGAAGCAAAGGATGGCCAGGGCAGAGGGCCTGGGAGACCCTGCCCTGCAGTGGGGGAAGAGTGAAACCTCCTTTTTTCCTTTTATCCACTCGAGGATCCTTTTCCCAGCCTTTCACCAGCCTGATAAATAACAGTGTGGAGGATGGAACGGAACCGCAGCGCAGAACCAGGGACAAAGGGGACTGCGGGGACAGCCCTGGGGGGTGGGGTCCCTGGCCTTCTGGCCAACCGTGTGGCCTGGCAGTGAACTTTGCGTCCAGACGATGCTGCAAGGAACCTATGGAACCTATCGGAAGCCACCCTCTCCTGTCCTCTCCCCCCTCCCCTCCAGTCTCTGCAGCGCCTTCCTCAGCCCCTCCTGCCCACGGTTGCTGGGCAAATTCTCCAGGAGAGGCGCTGGGAGGTGGAGCCGCGGCTGCCCCGGAGCAGGGGGCGTGGCGGTGGAAGGGGCGGGGGCGAGGGACTGCAGCAAAGAGCAAACTGGGACGCCGGGCGGAGGCCGCGCGCGCGCACATGCACACACGCATGCACACGCACGCGCACTCACACGCAGGCACACTCGCCCCGCACAGCTGCAATGCAGGGCCTTGGCGAAGCGGCTGGCAGCGGCGCCCACGCCCGCCCGGACTGGACTGCGGCACGGCCCGCGCGGAGGCAGGGCCAGCCTCCCAGCCGGGGGACAGGCAGTGACGTGCACGCCGCGCGCGCTCCTGCCGGCTGCGAGCGGTGGAGTCCCCTTATCAGTCACCCGTTTCTCAATCCTAGGGGCGCTCTTTGCCCCCCACTCCCATCCCAGAGTCGGGGAGAGGGGTGTCTTGGGAAGAGAATTTCTGCCTTCATTTGATTTGATTTTAAGTGGCTTTGTTTGCCAGCGTAACGACTGGGGGAGGGAGGGGCACTGCGCAGAGAACCTGAGCGCGCCCAGCGGCCGTCGCAGCCTTTGTCTCTGGGCAAAGCCTTTGTCTGAGCAGCAGCCTGGTGGGGGGCCATCCTCCCCGGGGAAAGGCTTAGCATAGGAATGCCATGCACCCCCAAATCTCAGCTGGGCGCTGCCAACCTGGTGGAGACCGAGCATAGAAATGGAGGGAAGAGGGGGCTCTGGCTCCGCCGCCATCTAGCCGGTTCCAGGCTGACTTTGGGGAGCTCCGCTGTCTGGGTCCCAGGAGCTCCAGCGCCTACCCCAGACCCAGAGGACTTCTCCCCCCTTCTCCCACGCCCGGCGTGAGCCCTAGGGGACACAGGCCCCGTCTGCAAGAATCCCCACTGCCTAGCAGGGGCTGGCGTGCAGCTGCGGACCACAGCACTTCTGTGTGGTGACTGCACGTGTGAATGAATGGACACACACGGGGGCAATGAACAGAGCTTAACCCAGCCAGTGGTCAGGAGGATCACAGAGTGAGTGACCCTCACACCCGACAGGCATCAGCCAGGCTAAAGGGGACAGGAAGGAGTGCCCAGGACAGGGGGCAGAGACACCAGGCCCTCCGGGACCACCGCGCTGGCCGTTTCTTCCCCCCCGAGTCTGGCTGCAGGACAGACTTTCTGAGCCGTTTGCACCAGGACCCCGGGGTGGCCTGGGGAGGGCCAGGGTGTGTTTAGGGACAAAGGCAGACAGGCAGCAAGGTTTACTTTACCCTGGAGTCGGGGTGGGGAGGGACTCTGGGAAATGTCACTTCTGCCTGCCGCGGGGCCTGTGGATACAAAGGGCCAGGGCTGTGTGTTTGCCCGCCTTGCCTGTGCCAGTGTTAGCCAAGAGAATAGCCCAGGTGGTCCACGCTGGGGCTCTGGAGCTGAGGGGTGGGGCAGGCCCGCAGCTGGCTGAGGGCAGCTCTCACTGACCCCTGTCCCGGACGAGAAAGTGAGTGGAACTCCTGTGCGCCCTGTTCTTGCCCTTGGAGCCATCTGATTCACTCCAGGGCCAGGGTCAGAGGACCCAGGGTCCCCTGGCCCGCCCCCACCCCACTGGTCCCCATCTCAGAACCCAGCTAAGCCGCTTGTCCTTAGGCTCTCTTTCCATTTGCTTCTTGGGCAGCTGAGCCTCCTGCCTGGGCCAGAGGGTTGGAGTGAGGGGTGGATACAGCTTTCTTGGCTTCAGCCAGTGGGCCCCCTGGGCAGGCCTCCTGCTGAGCCTCGGGGTCTGGGAGGGACCTTGGCAGCTCAGGCAGAGGGGAGAACGGGGCCTAGAGCTCGCACCTCAGCATCCAGGCGCCTGCTTCCGCCGGGCCAGAGGCGGTGATCCGGTGGCTGGCCTCCGGGAGCCTGGCTCCGGGTTAGATGTCCTGGAGGGCTGAGTCTTACTCCCCTCTGAGGAGGTGAAGAGAAGGAAACCCGCGATCTGGCCTCCTTGCTGGGCCTTTGGGTCTGAGCCAACCCCCTGTGCTAACAGTTGGAAAGTGTGTAGCTGGGGTGGCTCCCAGCTCTGCCTCCCCCCGCCCCCACCTCCAAGCTGCCTGTCCAGGCCTGTGGCCTGGTCCTGCCGGCCTCACCCCTGCAGGCTGCTTTCTCAGAGCAGCTCCACCCCCAGGAGCCCAGAGCACGGTGAGGAGAGGACACAGGAGAGGACACTCCAGCTGGGAGACAGGCCGTGGTGACAACCTGGGGTTTCTGTGGAGGTAACTCCTGGCCTGGCTCCCTCCCCCCTGCAGACCTGCACACCCACCTCCCAGTCACCCTCTCCAGTCCCCAGCTGTCCACATGGGAGACCGGGCAGAACCCGGGGACAAATTGTGCGGGCCTCACTTGGACCAGAGGGTGAATGGGAAGGACAAAGGTTGAGTGAGTTGGTTGTCAGTCGTTTAAAATGTCACTGTTCCACCAAAACAAATACAGTTTGTTTCATGGAGTAGAATATAAAGCTCACCCGCGTTCTGAAAATAAGACACAGCATCATTGAATAATCTTGACCTTGCAGAGCTGCCGGGAATTGTACCCTCAGTCGAAGCTGAGGGCCCACCCTCTTCTGCCTCTGGGAGCACTTTGGGGGCGAAGTGGGAGAAGCAGCGACATGGGGGCCCTCTGTCAGTAGGAAGGAGGCGCTG